TTAGCAACATACTGTTCCAGCTCAGAGAAGAGCTCTAATCTGTTGACATCAATTCTTTTGGTATTCATTTTGCTTTGGGGATGCCAGTTTTGTTGAATGAGAATATTTAGCTTGGAGAGGATAAGGCTATGATAAGTCCAGCACTGTACCACACATTGCCTTCGTCACTCTCATATCCTGTCTGTCTCATCTCCTTACAATCTCATAGTCTATTAAATGCCAATGTTTGCTTAGAGAGGGCATCCATGATATTTTATTGCATTTAGGCAAATGGAAGACAGTGTTGGTGATGAGAAGATCATGAGATGCACCAGTCTTCAGAAGTAAGTGACCGTTGCTGTTACTGTTTCCAATTCCATTCCTCCCTAGAACTTCCTGCCAAGTCTAGTAGTTTGAGCCTACTCTAGCATTAAAGTCACCCAGAATTATAAGCTTGTTCTCTTTTGGCACATTAATGATAAGAGTCTCCGGGTCTTCATAAATTTTTTCTTTAACTTTACCAGAGTTCGTCATGGTGGGAACATGGACACTGATGATGGTGGCATGATGTTTTCCTGCAAGTGGCAATCGTGTTGTCATGAGTCTGCTGATCACTCCTTTTGGTAGGCATACAAGCTTGTTGACTAGATTAGCTTTGATTACAAAAGCTACACCAGCTTCATAGCGCTCCCCTTCACTGCAGCCACTCCAGAAAAACGTGTCTAGCTCCAACTTCAGTAAGCTGGCTTTCATTCATCCTATCTGGATGCGATACCTGCTGAGTTCTCTTGCAACAAGAGATGCTTGTCTTTCAAGTCTACTGGATTTTGTGTTGTCTATAAGTGTGCACACATTTCATGTGCCGATGGTTTTTGTACATTTTTTTGTATTTCGACTACAGAATGGGATTCCCTGCCTGCTGAGGTAATCAGGGCAGGGTTGGGTAAGCAGGTAATTAAAAAAAATTAATTTATTTTTAGTTTTCAACATTCACTTCCATAAGCTTTTGAGAATTAAATTTCCCACCTCCCCTCTCCCCTCCCCAAGATGGTGCACAATCTGATACAGGCTCTACATATACATTCCTATTAAACATATTTTCACATTAGTCATGTCATAAAGAAGAATTAGAACCAATAGGAGGAACCATAAGAAGAAACAAAACAAACAGAAGGAAAAAAAAGAGCGAATAGCATGCTTTGATCTGCATTCAGACTCCATAGTTCTTTCTCTGGATGTAGACAGCATTTTCCATCATGAGACTTTTGGAGATGTCTTGCATTTCTGAGAAGAGTTAAGTCTATCCAAGTTAGTCATCACACAATGTGGCTGTTACTGCGTACCATGTTCTGCTGGTTCTGCTCATTTCACTCAGCATCAGTCCATACAAGTCTTTTCCAGGTTTTTCTGAAATCTGCTTGCTCATCATTTCTTATAGTACAATAGTAATCCATTACATTCATATACCACACTTGTTCAGCCATTCTCCAGTTGGTGGGCATCCCATCAATTTCCAATTCTTTGCCACCACAGAAAGAGCTGCTATAAATATTTTTGTACATGTGGGTCCTTTTCCTATTTTTATGATCTCTTTGGGAAACAGCCCTAGAAGTGGTATTGCTGGGCCAAAGGTCAAATATGCACATTGTCATAGCCCTTTGGGCATAGTTTCAAATTTAGGGCACCTTTTCTAGCCCCTTCTTCATACTAGGAGGTGAGTAGTGCGATCTTTAAAAGGCTGCTCAGACAGCCATGGGACTGCTGAATCCCACCGCTGCTTCCAGTGAGAAACGACCCTATGGCCTGGGCTGCCTGTGTGAGGATTGTAACTACAGCTCCCAGAGTAACTGTACCTGCTGCTTTGTCACTTGGCTGTCACCACAGGACTTTGAGACAGGTAAAATGGTAAAATGGTGTGGGCGATGTCCTTTGATTCATGCGTAAATTGGATTTAAGTGAGGCAGAGTTGCACAAAGTCATTGATGTCACTCTCTCCTCCAGAATCATCACAGTCCAATGGCAGGACAGAATCAAGATGACTTGTGATGGCTCAAGATGCAGTGGATGACCTTGGTGTCTTCGGTGTCTAACCAAGCTCTAATTGCTCCACAGTACCTGCTTTCATTGGCCGTTGGAACAAATTGTTCTCCTCTGCCCATTCCACCCGGGGAAGTCTTCACATGCTTAGAGAAGACATCCCCACAACTCATCAACAGTCTTGAAACCCCTTAGTTACCCTTGACCTGTTTTAGGCCATCTATGAAATGGTTTACTGGGGTGTGGCTGTTGTGCATACTACAGCTTCTTAGAGCCACAGTGAGAGTTGGGTGGAACAGGAGGACACCAAAGTAAAAAGCAGCCCTGAAAAAGGCTTGGCAGCCTTCAGATACCACAGGTACTAGTCTTCTCTGAGTGTACCCTATGCCCCAATCATAGTGATAATGTAGGGGCAGTGGAAGCAGCATTGAATCTGGAGTAAAAAGAACTGTGTTTCAAGATGAGTGACTTGGGGTCATTTAATAAGTGCTGGTTTAGTTTACCAACTGGTAAACATTTTTTAAGCATCTACTATGTTCCAGGCACTCTGCTAAGTGTTGGGGATTCAAAAAAGGGTGAAAGATATTCTTTGCCTTCATGAAACTTACAATCTAATGTAATTGTTTACTGATTGATTTTTAAAAAGGACATTAGTCTAATGGACTAATTAGTCTAAAGGACTAATATCCTTGTAAAATGTGGTGTCCATAAATGAATACAACAATGCAGATATGATCTGACCAAGGTAGAGTACAGTAGGATTATCATCTAGTTTGATTTGTCTAAAACTGGGGAATAGATAGATATAGATGGCATAATGGTTAGAATGCTGAGTTTGGAGTCAGGAAGACCTGAGTTCAAATTCTAACTCAGACACTTGTAGTTATATGATCCTGGGCATTGAACCTTCCTGGGCCTCATCTATAAAATGAAGGAGTTGGACTTAATGACTTCCAAGGTCACTTCTAGATCTAAATATATGATCCACGGGCCACTGTGTCCTGTTTTGGAAATGGGGTAGAGGGTTTAAATAAGATGACCTCTAAAGTTTCTTCCAATTCTAAAGCTATCAACCAAACCTGATAAAGTCCCTTCTCGCCTGGTTGTATTCTTCTGCCACTTATTTCTCTCCATACACTCATATCTTTATAAGGAAACTTTCTAATGACGAATAACTATTTATGTGGGGAAATTGTTGGAACCAAAAAGGCACAGCAGACTCCTCTCATGACTGAGCTCATTTTCATGTTTGTGCAGCCATCGATTCATTCAGATCTCGTAGCAGCTTAATGTATAAGAGGAGTCCTCAACTGAAAAAGATGAGTTGTTAGAAAAGTTCATTTGTAACTTGGTTGTTTGGAAATTGGAACACAGAGATTCGCAGAAGTGAATGAATGAAATTTAGGTCCCTAAGCCACCTACAGAAACTTATTTAACCTCAGAATAGCTGAATTTGGCATCAGAGATAGTAGAGTGGATAGAGGAGACAAAACCTTGAGTTAAAGGTGGCAGGTATTTTAACTCCATATGTTTTCCTTGGTTGACCTCCATACCTTTATATCATGCCAATTCAGTGTTTCCCCCAACAAAGAACTGGAAAAAAAAACTCAACAGAAGGATATTGGCATTATTTTTCTGGTTGATTATGCCAGGAAGGCAATTTTTGTGAGTTAGAATGAAAAAAAAACTAGAACCAGAAAAGTTTTGCTCCTTCCTGCTTCACATCTAGTAGTATGCTGATAAAACGTTTAGCAGTCTGCAATCTGAAAAAAAAGTGTAATTGACACTATTAAGTTTACTTCACCTTATTAACATTTCCTCATTATTTTCTTAAGTCTAGACAATCAACAAAACAATAAATCAAACTCTGATTTACAAATTGGTGTTTGCTGATTTCCAAGGTATAGATACTCACATTAAAATTTAAGAATCAGCTCTCTTAAGCTGGTTTGAGCTGGCTCCAGTCTACCCTTACTATATTATAAGTCCACTATTCTTATGCTTTTTTTTTTTTTGGGAAAACCAATGATTTTATAGATTGAAGAAATGCTGAAGATGAAGCCTCCCTGGGGCAGGGGGATAGGTATCATCACATTCTAGATTGGATTATTGAAATTTTCAATGAGGAACTGGGTTCAAATTCTCCTTCTAATTTATTAGTTGCATGACCATGGACAAGTCATTTAAACTCTCTGACCCTCAGCTTCTTCATTTGTAAATCAAGAATTATGATCCCAATAGTACCTATCCCACAAAAGTTGTTCTGCGGATCAAACGAGATAACATTGGTAAAGCATTTTCTTTTTCTTTCTTTTGGTGAGGCAATTGGGGTTAAGTGACTTGCCCAGAGTCACACAGCTAGTGAGTTTTAGGTTTCTGAGGCCAGATTTGAACTCAGGTCCTTCTGACTCTGGGCCAGTGATCTATCCACTGTGCCACCTAGCTGCCCCTAAAGCATTTTCTAAACCTTGGAAGTGTTAGCTGTTATTGTGGCGGCTGGTTTATAATTTTCTCAATCTGTCAGAATTACAGGTTCAGATGGGAAGAACTCTGTTACTTTTTTCTTTTCTTCTATAAATTAAAAAAAAAACCAACCTGTTGAACCCCCTCAATCTTTAAAGCATAGATTCAAAGCTGGGAAGAATCTTTCAGGTCAACCCTTGCATTTTGGGGGTTAGGAATGTGAAACTCAGAGAGTCTTGGTGACTTATTCCATAGTCACATAAGCAGTAAGCCTTCCAGTGCTTGATGGCCCCATGATGTAAGCAAATTCAGGAATCATCCATCCATTTCAACATCTTTTCTGGGCTTCCAGATCAAGTCTGGAATGCATCCTGGTTTCATAGAGGTGGCCATGGAATTTTATTAAGTGTTGACATACTAGGATTGACGAAGGCACATCCCAGTGGTACGGAGGCCTTAAAAGGAAGCTGGGCATACAACAGAGCTAATAAGGAATGGGAGAGGTGTGAGAAATTAATTACCTGTTCTTATATGTAATAGAACTTAGTGGTTTCCTGTTCCATCCTTCATTCAGCCATTTGTCTTTCATTGCTTCTTTAATGGCAGGCCGCTTGGCTGGGTCAGGCTCCAGTAAGGAGTGCATGAAATGCACAGCTCCTGGAATGCAATTCAGATGAAGTGTTTGGGGATGAAAACCCCTACAGTTTGGGGGTATTAACCCAGTGAACCACAGACTCTCTTACTGGCAAAATTCTTCTGTTGAAACAAATAATGATCTGACCATAAGCTAGTTTCCTCAGTTTGACTACCAAAGCCAGTGGCTTCAATGGCAACCTAGGCATCTCAAGTGATGCTTTAGGAACTTTAAAATGTCCAGATGTCTTTTACAAAATATATTTTGTGGCTAAGTTTGGGTGTGTGTGTGTGTAGGGGGGGAGGTGGATAAAGGAGAGATTGAATATGTTCAATTGATTTATTATAAAAATCTGGCATTGCGAACAAACCCTAAAAGGTGTAGAAGGGTATTTTTTCAACTGCTAACATTTCTTCCTCCCCTAATCTCATTATCTCTTCTCACCTCTTGGGATCCCTAACTCCCTTCAAAGCTCAGCTCAGACCACCTCCTGCACAAGCAGGGCCTTTCCGATATCCCCAGTTGTTAGCACTTACCCCACCCCAAATTACTTTTTTATCTATTTATCTCCATGCATATTGTTTTCCTCCAGCAGAATGTAAGTTCTTTGAGGCAATAGCTGCCCTTCTACTTAGTTTTTGTGTCTTTGTACTCAATACCTAATATACATTAAATGTTTAGCAAATTCTTGTTAAAGGGAATTATTCATGCTAGTGTTTCCCACATGTCTTGCCCATAAGAGGCCATCAAAAATGTTTCTTGAATTGAAAATGCTATAATAGAAAGCAGTTAATTTTATGGAAACTGAAGACAGAGAAGTGCCCAAAGCATCTCAAAATTTTGAGCCCCTGATATATAGTTATCCCTCTCCCCTGGCAACAAGAGTCAATGATCTATAGCATGATGCTATATTCCCAAATATCTTCCATAGATTGAGCCTTAATTTACAAAACAGCGAGTTAACCAATGAGTTAATTACCAGAAGAGATGTCATCTGGAACAGAGCTGATTTCCCCATTCACCATCTTCTGATGAAGCTGCTTGATGTTGAATGGTTCCACAGTAAATGGCAACGTGCCCGTGAGCATAGCGAACATACTAACCCCTCTGTCAAGAGAATGACCATCAAAGCTGAAAAGTTTAGAAATCAACCTTTAAAAAAATGCTTCTGACAAGAGGGAATTTATGGGCTTTTAATTGTCATGTGTTAAGCACTTTTCTAGAAGGCTGATTTAGCCTATTTCAGAATGAAAAGAAGGATGGGACAAAGGATAAATTCCTTCAGGAGCCTCATGGAACCTATGAAGCTTCCTCAGGACTATAACATGTTGGTAGTCTCTGACTCTTCCCTTATGTCCCTTTATAGGAGGGTATAAGGTGTATGACTTTGAAAAAATGATAAAAATGTCCTGGAGGCAAATTCGAATGTTGGTCACAAATTCCAAATGGATTTAGTTCTATTTACTTATAAATTTATGTTATCTTCATGCATTTTGAAACTCATTGGTTCTAAACAGGGTGGGAAGGGTTGGAGTCCTAAGATAATCCTGAAAAGAAGAGTTCTCCAAGGCCATAAATATGTTTTCATTGTGGTATGTAGCCTGTTAGGAAGACTTGGAAAGGCATTTTAGCATATTTCTGGGCTCCCAGCCCACCTTTTCACTATGGCTAACCTCCTACCCCAAAAAGTGTATTAAATATTTCATCATAGCATGATATAGCAGGATATATATAGGATAGTAGCGTGGGATAGTAGATATGAGGGGGACTTGGTATCAGGGAGACCTGAGTTTGAATCCCATGTCTGATATTTACAAATTTTGTGACTTTGGCCAAGATACTCATCCTTTCTCAACTTCAGTTTCCTCATCTGTTAAATGGAGATAATAAATTGAGGATTAAATGGGGATTAAATAAAGTAAGGATTAAATAAGATGACGTATTTAAATATCATATCGATGCCAGGTATCATCATCATCAGGGCAACTAGGTGGCATAGTGGATAGAACATTGGGTTTGGAATCTGGAAGACTCATCTTCATGAGTTCAAATCTGGCCTCAGACACTTAGTAGCTGTGTGACCCTGGTCAAGTCACTTAACCCTGTTTGCCTCTGTATCCTCATCTGTAAATTGAGTTAGAGAAGGAAATGTCAAACCACTTCAGAATCTTTCCCAAGAAAACCTCAAAATGGAGTCATAGAGAGTTGGACATGACTAAACAACAATAACTATCATTGTTATTATTATTATCACCATCATCATGGCGGCAGCTAGGTGGCATAGTGGATAGAGTGCTGGGCTTGGAATCAGGATGACTCATCTTCATGAATTCAAATCCAGTTTCAGACACTAGCTGTGTGACCCTGGGCACTTAACTCTGCCTCAGTTTCCTCATCTGTAAAATGAGCTAGAGAAGGAAATGGCAAACCACGTTAGTATCTTTACCAAGAAAACTCCAAAATGAGGTCACAGAGAGTTGGACACGACTGACCAACAACTATTATTATTATCAAATGATGTCCAATTTAAGTTCTTTTAACCACTTAACTAAAGGTAGAATTTTCAGATCCAGTATCAATCTCTGTTAGAATCTTAGATTTCCTGCTGCCACACTTTTGCTGATATAAGAAACCAGTATTAAGTGATACCTAAGTTTGTAAATAAAGTATTTGCATTGATTGCAGCATCTTGTTTCATGTTATTTTTTCCCTGTATACTTAGAATGGTCTTTCTAGTCAGCATTGTGTAGGAGGATATATGTGATACATATGTGTGTGTCCAATCAATCAATCAATCAATCAACATCTCTTAAGCATCTATGTGCCAGGCACTGGGCCAAGTGCTGTCTAGATTTGGATCTCTTGGTCTCCTTGACCAGGTGGGACTCATCGTTCTTTGCTTCTCTAGAAAAGCAGCTCTTTCTGGAGATTTCAATGGGACTTGTAGGCTGACAGTCTCTGTTAAATTTATGTCCTACTTCCTTGCTCCCACCCACACCTGGAGGTCCACAACTGCTAGGGAGAAATGCCTTTCCTGCAAGTAATCTTATTTGAAGCTCCCTTTGCATGTCAAAGAAATATTGTTTTCCTCAGTTACATGTATAAAGAGAAAGAAGCAGCTTTTTAAAAATTGGAATCAAGGTTAGAAGGAAGAATCATAGGGGATAGCAGATTGATTTAGTAGTTGGTAGCCTGTCAGAAACAGGACACCAAGTTGCTGAGCCCTGTTCTTATTACCAAGAAGCAAGAGAGAGATGTGCTTTATAGGAGAAGGGCATGTGGAAAGGCCCCCCTACTTAAAAATAATCAATATATATTTTACCAACTAGAAATTAATTTGGATTAATAGATTCCTCTTTTACAGTGCAAAAGTTCACTAGGAAGGTGAAAGCCTATCATTCATGTGTTCAGTTTGTCTTCCTTAAATCAATCAATTGCATAAAGGATTAAAAACATTTTTGGTGGATTAAAAACATTTTTTTTTGATGGGGGGGAGAAGGAGAATAGGGAGATTGGAAAAAAGAAAGATAATTTAGAAGTAGAGGACTTGAGTGCCTTGGGATGGCCAGGGACTTGTGCTATTCAACTTAGCCTTGTTCTGGTCAACATTTATATCAATGTCTTAATTATCTTCATTGTGAAGAGCAGTGTGGTACAGTAGCTTTGGAGTCAGAGGACACAGGTTCAAATTTTTTCTCTGGCATGTGACTCTGGGCCTCAGTTTCTTAACCCATAAAATGATTATCTTACATTAGATAACCTTTAAGTTCCTTTTCAGCTGTAAATATATGATTTTATGATCCCATGAAGACATAGGTGAGATGCTTACCAAATTTGTAGATGATATGAACTGGAAGTTGTAGCCAGCACATTGGGTAATAGGCAAGATCCACAAAATAGGATGATGGGTTGAATGTAATATGTTAAAAATTAATAAGGATAAAGTTCTGGAGTAGTTGATAGAAGGCTGACCTTGGAGTCAGGAAGATGGACTCAAACTTCGCCTTTGACATATACTAGCTGTGTGATAATAGGCCACAATTTCTGAGGGCCCTGGGTGACTTTCTAGGACTTTAAACTACTGATTAGATGTTTATTTGCATCAATGGAGAGAGTTTTACACAAGGAGTTGAGGCAGTTAAGTGGTAGAGTGGATAAAGTATTCTGCTTGGAGTCAGAAAGAACTGAATCATGCCTCAGACACTTAGTAGCTGTGACATTGGACAAATCACTTAACTTCTGTTTGCCTCAGTTTCCTCAACTCTAAAATGAGGATAATAATAGAACTTACCTCCCAGGGTTGTTGTGGAGATCAAATAAGAGATTATTTGTAAGGCGCTTAGCACAGTACCTGGCACAGAGTAAAATGATTAGTAAATGCTTGTTTCCACCTTTCCTTTCTAGGAGTTCTTTATGTTGATGAAATTATAGGTCTGGTACCCTGCCTTCGCCCCCCAAAAAAGTAAAATCCTACACTTGGGTTAAAAAAAATCAACCATACAATTAAGTTACAGAATACTAGATCTAGGCATTTTAGTAGACTGAAGGTTCAAAATGTGCTATACTACACTGTTAGAATATTAACTTGCATTGAAAATAATGGCCTCTGGAATGAGAGAATGGATAGTCCCATTATGTTGGGCTCTCTCAGACCACATCTGGAGTGTCATGCTCAGTTCTGGGCCTCACATTTTAGGGAGGCCAGAGGCAGGCTGGAGTGAGTTCAGAAGAGGATGATCAGGACATTGGGGGAGGTAGGGAGGGCAGGCTGGACACCATGCTATACAAAGATTTGTGGTAGGAATGAAGGATGATTGCTGTTATGCAGAAGAGGGGCTAGACTTTTTTTGCTTACCCCAAAGAATATAATTAGGGCCAATGGGTACAGATTGTAGTGAGGCAGATCTGATGTAAGGAAAAATTTCTTAATAGTTAGAGCTATCCAAATGTGGAATGGATTGCTTTGGGAGGTAGGATGCTTCCCTTTACTGGAGGCTTTTAAGCTGGTGTTGGGTGACTTTATTGGGTATTTCAATTAAAGTACAGGCTGAATTATGTAATCTCTTGAGGCCTCTTCCATCCCTATGATTCTGTGAGAGAGTGTCAGGGGAGAAGGGTGATAAAGAGAGATGGGAGGGTACCCAAGACAAACTTTGTCTACTTTACAAATTTTCCTGGAGTCAGACTGAAAATCATTTCCAGTTCTTCCCCTGGCTCTAGGGCCATAGCTTGGTGATATTGGGTGATTGATTATATCATACAACTAAAGGCTATTTCAATGAGAAGCAGAAAGAACTATTAGGAAGAGAGTGATATAAGGTCACTCCTGTAAAAACAAATTCAATCCCAAAATACTTTAATACACCAATTATCACCTGTCGAAAGAAAGGGTGGATACTCATGATCTGCATATGACTTTGTTTATAGGCTTTAAAGTGTCAAGGCCAAAATGAAAACATATTTGTATCCCTGTAGAAATGATTCTTTCAGTATGCATTTTGGAATTTCCACTCACCCAACCGTGGTTGGGAGCAGAAAATTTAGAAATGCAGGAAAACGAGGAGACTTACAAGAAAGTAGAACACAATCCATTAGGAATTTGTGACTAACATGCACATTTTCCTCAGAGACATGTTCATCATCTTTTGGTGGCAAACCTTGCTCCTTGTAAAGGGATATGGGGAAAGAGCCAAGAGACCGCCAAGTGTGAGAGCAGGTCAGACAAGCCCAGGCTGGAAGTCAATGGCTTTCACACTTGCTATCAACCAGAATTTAATTCACTATCAACCAGGGCTGCCTCTGAATCCGGCACCTCTAAGCCAAAAGACTCTTGATCCCATTACTAATCCTCTAAGCCACTTAAGCACCCAGATTCAAATATTTTTCAGCTGTTTTCCAGTAAGGTATGCCAAAATGCTGGTTTAGAGGTGGGGAGTAGAGGGTGTTAATATTCTAGGGAAGCTCATATGGACTGAACCTGAGGTCGTGTTTTTAGGGTGATGCTGTGGGCTGAGTAGAGGAGAAAAGCAAGCAGGCTGAGAGGGAAATCCCTGAACACTGGGTAATGGCTGCACAAGCCTTCTTGGGGATCACAAAGATCATATGATATTAAAACAAAATAACCATTTCCGTGGCTGGACCGTTGTCATGGCCATCCATGTTGCTGTCTGCAGAATGTATGGACAACATCTGTGATAGCTAGAATAGGAAATCTCTTTTCTGTTTCTCACGAACCTTACAAGAACATCGGGTTCTCTAGAAAAAGACCAAACCACAAGAAGGTATCCCAGTAAACTCATATGGTGCTGCGGTTCAAAAGGTGACACACAAAACATATGTAGTTGAACAAGTGTGAGTCTACTATTTAATTGTGGCTGGAGCCTGATGATATGTTAAGCTTGAAAATTTATTGGCTGTAACAGAATGGAACTCTTCCATCCCACTGAAATCTCTGGCAGCCTTTGGATAGAGCATCTGGCTTATTAATTTGGCCAGTGGATGAAAGTTAATCATGCTTCAGTCCTTCCAAGGATCTAAAAATTGGATACACAAAAATCATGGACAGGCACACGGAGCACTGGTGTTTCCTCCATGGATTCCTAATTGTGTTACTGCAGATTTGGATTGGAATGTGTTGAATGGGATGGCAGAGACCAACAACAGGCTTCTTGTTTTTCCAGTGAGAATTTCTATGCTTTAATGATGATCATCTTTCTTGAGGGCAATAGTTTAATCAAAGGCCAGACAATTGAGAGAATCAGCTCACTTCTTGGGGCTATATTTTTATGACAGAATTTGAATTAAAACAACATTAAAGGGGGGGGAGGTGATGGGAAGTAGTCAAAATAGAGCTGATGAAAATTGAGGGTAGGGGGCTAAAGTGAATCTTTTGAAGAAATCCTTAATTCTGAGATCAAATAAAATTTTAGATCTGGGTAGGATATCAAAGTGAGTGGTAGAAGATGGGAAAATTGCTGGCTCTAGGAGAAAAGGGAAAATTTAGACTCTCACTTTTGCCTTCTTCTGTCTTTCTCTTTCTGTTTTCATGTCTCTTTTTCTCCCTCCCCCACCCCCACTTCTTTCTCTCTTCATCTCTCCATTTCTCTTCATAGTTCTCTCTTTTCCATTTTCCCATTTCTTTCTCTACCTTAACCTTCTTCCCTTCCCCCTTTCTGAGGCTACCTTGCTTCTTCTCACTTCTTTAATACAGTATTAAAACACCACCTTAGACTATTTTGTTTTCCTTGGTACTTTAAAACCTCTTCACTTCATTCATTCAGAGTTTGTGTTAAGTTCAGACCCAAGAGGCTGAGGTCTACCTCTGTAATATTTCTTTAAAAAAAAGTTTAGTAAGCAAACACATTTTTCAAATGTAATTGATGGATTAGATTCTAAGTTCTTTGAGAACAGGACTGTCTTTTGTCTCTTTGTATTCCTCATGCTTAGCACAGTGCCTGCCACATAGTAGGTGCTTAATAAATGTATGCTGATTGATTGATTTGAGAGAATATCCAGGTGATTAAAATGAAACTGTTTTTATGGATTTTGATGTATCAATTATATGTACATTCATTATATACTACTAATAACAAAATAATTATTTATTAAATAGACTTTTTCCAACTTTTACTTGGAACCACTCTGGCAGGCTTTGCACATAGCATCTGACTTATTAATTTGGCCAGTTAATTTTGTTAACAATTCTTTGGTGCAGGTCCTACTTATATTACTTTGGGCTCCCTGGGCAGAGTGCTGTTATTAAACTCCATGGTAGAGCTACAACCAAGCTGTGTAGTGATGAAGAATGGGGAAAGAAAGAGAGACTGGATTTGTGATTTCAGTAATCTAGGGAACAGGGCTGCTAGGTGGTGCAGTGGATACAGCATTGGCCTTGGAGTCAGGAGGACCTGAGTTCAAATTTGACCTCACACATAAAACACTCACTAGCTGTGTGACTCTGGGCGAGTCACTTAACCCCAATTGCCTCACCCAAAAAAATAATAATCTAGAGAACACGATGGCAAAGAAATTCTCTACCAGTGGAGCTTGGTACCTTCTCTGCAAGTTGAAATCTTAGAGAGATGCCTCAGTGACTTGCTCAGGGTTACACAGCCACTATGTGTCTGAAGCATGAACTTTGAACCCAGGACTTCTTTCTGGCTCTGAGACCGGTTCCATTAATCCTACACTGCCACTGGCTAGTGAAAAATCACAGATAATCCAAATGGATCATTTAAATAACTTCAGTTTATTTTCCTACCATATATGTTACCAGGGACATGAGCAGCTAAAGAAATTCATAGATTTGGATTTTTACTTCTTTTTCTTCTCTGGTGCTCTACTGATAGGAAAGCTGGTAAGCTTTTTAATATTTTCATTTGAGATATATAGGGTTAGTTTAACATTCTCAGTTCATTTCACATCCTTGGCTTTTTTTTTTTTATTTTGAAGAATGGGGATAGAAACGGGGATTGTTTTGACCCTCATGGCTAAACTCAAGAGAGTTTTTCTGTTCTTCATGTATCTCAGGACTAATTTTTTTAAATTAAATTTAGAAAAAATTCAGGTCCACCTCCCTTTCTCTTTCCTCCCTCTTTTCCCCTTCCCTTTCTCCTCTCTCCATTCCCTCCCTGTCTCTGTTGCTCCCTTTCCCTCCTTTGTCTTTCCCTTCTCTGTCTTCTCTCTGTCTCTGTCTCCTCATTCTGTCTCTCTCTTCTGTCTCCCCCATCTGTTTCCCTCCCCCTCACCTTCCACCTTCCTCTTCTGTCTGTCTTCCCCCTCTCCTCACTTCCTTCCCTCTCTCCCGTCCATTCCCCCTGCCATTGAGAAGACAAGAAATACAAAATCCTCTGTCAAAAACATATAGTCAAGCGAAATCAGTTCCCGAAATGTCCATGTTAAAGAAAAAATATATGTATCTCTATTGGTTCTCTAAGTCTAGGAAGTTGGTAGTCTGTTTCATCATCAGGGCTACTTTTCCAAATAAAAATAAATCTCGAAATTTCAAAGTTGGAAGGGACCGCAGCGGCAGCCTAATCCACTCTATAACTCAATAGGATTCCGTATGTACTACATCATTCTCTACCTCCCCAGTCAGCCCATTACACTTCAGGACCAACCTGATCACTAGGAAATTTTTTCTGATATCAAACCCATATTTGCCTCTTTGCAACTTCAGACTTTTGCTCAAGGTCTAGCTTCTACTGGATGCTTTTCCTGATCCCCCAGCTACAAATACCCTCCACTTGTTGCCTTGTGGTTAACCACCTTACATTTATTTTGTATTTATTCTACACATATTTATTTAAAAAAATTGTTGGCACTGGATATGACAAGCACCAAAAGAAATTATTTTTCATCTTTAATTCCCTAGTACCTCAACACAGTGACTATGAGGGTAACAGATGCTTGGTGATTGATTCTACTCTTTTTCACCTGGTTTTACCTTCTGGTGCCAAATAGAATAAGTGTAACCGGGCTTCCATAGGATAGCCCTTTAAATACTTGGAGGCAGCTCTTATGTCTCCTACACATTTTCTTTTCTCTTCTCCAAGATTTTTAGTTCAGCCATTTCAGTCGTGTCTGACTCTTGTGATCCCACTTGGGGTTTTTGGCAAAGATACATTTCCTTCTTTAACTCATTTTACAGATGGAGAAACTGAGGCAAACAGAGTTAAATGACTTATCCAGACCCACACAGCTAATAAGTGTCTGAAGCTGGATTTGAACTCAAGAAGATGAGTCTTCCTGACTTCAGGCACTCTATCCACTGCATCACCTACCTTCTCCTTCTCCAAGATAAGCATGTCCAGTTCTTTCAGCTGACCTTTAGTTGCCAAGAATTAGAGGCTCTTTACTATCCTGACTTCCCTCCTATATCAATGGCCTTCCTAAAATGTGGTGCCCAGAACAGAAAATAAAATACTTTTTATGGATGTACAACTCAATCACTTGGGTGAAATTTTGCTCTTGGTTATGGAAGTGTGCATGTGTGTGTGTAAGCATGTGTGTGTGCACATGTACACATGTGTGTGTGTGTTAAACTCCAGGTGAGAAAAATATCTTGCTCAACTGTCTGCAAATTTAAACAACTGGGTTTCCCATAGCTTTAAAATCCACTGTGATTATGATTCAACATCCCTGAGCTGACGCAGTAATTTGGTGATTTACTTACATGGACCAGACATCCACCTTTGGACCATATTTCTTATGAGCCACCAGTTCCGGGGCAGCATAGGCTGGGCTTCCACACTGAGTGTTTAACAGCTCCTGAGAAAGACCCTCCAGTTTCATAATGTTGCTCAAGCCAAAGTCTGAAAGATTTACAAACAGCCAGACCTAAAAAGTTCATCTCTGACAGAGACCACTTAATTCTTTTGACCAGTGGTTTGCATGAAAAAACCTAGGAGTAACCATAAACCTTATGGCACTTGGCTTGTGGAATGCTTTCTTTCTTTGACTACAGTAGTGGTTCTTATAGGTATATGGATATGTCTGCAATACAGGCATAGGAACTGTCTTTAAAACCAGTTTTCTTATTTCTTCAAGTGACTTGGTTTTCTTTAAACAAGTTCTCCTGTAATTTCCCCTGGGTCTTTCCTTCCTCTCGACCTTAGGTTGTGTAACAGTATGACAGAGAGGGGAAAAAAAACCTGGAATTTTGGTCAGAAGGCCAGGGATGAGAGCATTTATTATCTGTGTGACCATGGCTGAATCACTTCATCTTTGTAAGCCCTAGTAGAAACTGGGAGTATTGAAACTCACTCCTGACTTGAAAGGTTGTTTGAAAAAGTAGCTCTCCCCCAACCTTTTTTTTTTTTTGGCAATGGGGTTTAATGACTTGCCCAGGGTCACACAGCTAGTAAATGTCTGAGGTCAGATATGAACTCAGGTCCTTTTGATGCTGGAGCTGGTCCCTGAGGATAAAGTGGTACATGCTAGAAGACCTGGGTTTGAGGACAGTTCTGCTAATGATGAGATGTATGACCTTGGATGAGTCTCTTCCCCTCCTGCATCAATGTTTCTTCATCTGCAAAATGGGTTAGTCAATAAGGAAGGAGTATTAGATCTGGGTGGCAGGGATCAGGCAAGGGGCAGCAAAGTATAGTGGAAAGTTTTCAGGATTTAGAGTCAGAGTATCTGAGGGTATATCTCAGCTGTGCCATTCCCCACCTATTTTTGACCTTGCTAAGTCATTAATCTCCTTGTAACTCAGTTTCCCAGCTTCTAAAATGAAGTGCTTAGACTAGATAGTGTCAGAGATTCCTTCCAGTTTTAGTCATTTCTATGTCTATGACACACAGAGTAGATAACCTAGATGGTGGATTGTCTTTCATTCCTGATCTCATCACTTGTATTAGGAACCCTGTGACTTAGGAGGCAAGGTCAAGGTGATCAAGAAATGAAAAAATTTCCTCTCCTCTGCTTCTCTCTCCTTTGTCCTCTCCCAGAAAGTGTCTCTCTGCTGGCTGGGGACATGTTGAAGCCTGTCTCAAGGAAGGAAGATATTGAAGCTATTTCTTTTTTTGGGGGGGGCTGTTTTTTTCTACGTATCAGGACAGAACCCTTTGGTTCCCACATGAATAACTGCAACTCTCATACTTTAGCACAGTTGGCCATTCCGTGTAATAACAGCAACAGCTCACATTCTCAGCTCTGGTCATTTTCTCCGTCTAATCCACCATGTCTGGAGTGCTCTCCCTCTATTACTGCCTTTCTAGGCTTCCTTTAAGTCCCAGCTAAAATTCCATCTTCTACAGCAGAGGTTCCCAAACATATTTGGCCTACCATCCCCTTTAAAAAAAATTACTCAGCATCTCCCTTCCCCCAGAAATCTACTTTTTAAAAAGTCTTTAACAGTTTTTTTTTGAAATTTGTGTCATTTCAAAAAACATAAATTTTTTAAAGAAAAGATGCACCTTAAATTTAATAATTTATTGTAAATTTGTGTTTTTTTCCTGCATTGAAATTCTGATGATGCAATATTGCATCATGTAACTGTATAGTATTATAAGCAAGTCATTATACACAAATATTCCTGCCGATGCATGCTGGACTTTCCAACATTGTACCATGCGCTCACCTGCCCAAACTTACTTGTTAAGACTTGTTGGCAGACTTGACCACTTATCAGTTATAACTTGTACGTTGTGTGTTTATTTGGAAAATAATGCAATCACTACAACTTTAACTGTTACACAACAGATAAAACATGTATGAAGTTTTTCAAGATTTTCTTCTTTTTTCCTTATGCTTCCACCACCCCCTTAGTTTTATTTAACATCCTGAAGTTGCACCTGAGACTACTACCACCCCCCTGTATTGTCCCAGTACCCCCCAGGGGGCAGTATCACCCATTTTGGGAACCTATGTCTACAGGAAGTCTTTCCCAACCCCAATTAATTCTAGTACTTTCCTTCTTTTAATTATTTCCTGTTTATCCTACATATAGTTTTTACATAATTGTTTACTTGTTGTCACCCCAATTTTATCACCCCACTGGGCAGCTAAGTGGTACATGATTAGAGCATAGGGCCTGGGATCAGGAAGACTAAGTTCAAATCCAACCCAGACACTTACTAGCTGTGTGACCCTGGGCAAGTCATTTAACCCTGTTTGCCTCAGTTTCCTCATCTGTAAAATGAGCTGGAAAATGAAATGGCAAACCACTCCAGTGTCTCTGCCATTAAAACCCCAAATGGGGTCACAAAGAGTCTGAAACGACTGAAAAACAATAAAACTCCCCCATTAGGTTGTGACAACCTTGAGGGCAAGAACTCTCTTTTTCCTCTTTCCCCAGGACTTAGCACAGTACCTGATATATAGGTGCTTAGTTCTCTCTCGTTCTCTCTCTCTCTCTCTCTCTCTCTCTCTCTCTCTCTCTCTCTCTCTCTCTCTCTCTCTCTTGGCTAGGCAATGGGGTTAAGTGACTTGCCCAGGGTCACACAGCTAGTAAGTGTTATGTGTCTTAGGTTGGATTTGAACTCAGGTCCTCCTGAATCCAAGGCTGGTGCTCTATCTACTGCACCACCTAGCTGCCCCACAGTAAGTGTTTAGTAAATGTTTATTGACTAATATTTAGGTAAGCTTGGATGAATTGCCATGGTCAGAGGGAATATCTCCCCAGACAAGGTCACAGAATTGTTTGTGTATCCCCGTATCTGAGCTCACATTCCCATTGCACTTTAAGGATTAAAAACCACTTTTTTTTTGGAGCATGTTCTTGTGTTCTCTGTGCTCTTGTTCACTCTTTGTCCTGTCTTACTTTTCTTGTTACCTGTTGAATTTCTCCAAAATTCATCTCAAAATTCATCCTCTGGAAAACCTTCCTGGATTTCCACTGTTGTTTACACAAACTCTGCCCCCTTAACCCAGATCTAGGCTGTACAACCAGTCATTGCTATAAAGTTGCAAGGAATTAAAGTTATAAATTAAATAAATTAGATTGTTATAATTAAAGTTAATATAAAGTTATGAGGAATTAGCTTTGTAGGGATAGAGAATAATATTGATTAAAAAAATTATTTCTTATTCAAAGCTTGATTTTCCACCAAAGGAGTTATTAGGGTTTTTGTTTGGTACAAACTGTTTTGAATTTATTTATCCTTACTTGTAGCAGAAAGTTCTAAGAGGAAGCCTATTTTTTTCAAACATATTTTAATCTATTTTAATAGAATACATTGTAGAGGGACATGTGGCCCTGGGATAAATCACTTGACATTGTTAAGCCTCAGTTTCCTTATTTATGAGACTTCTTCTCTTTGGCTCTTTCTACATAGATTTTACAGAAAACGTTTCATGTACTGATGTAGTTTGTAACTGTACTTTCAGAACATTGTTTTTTGTTTTATAAAGTTATTCAAGACTCATGGTAGGGAGTTTGAATTAAAAAGGATTATTTTCAAGTTATGATCTATAATGCCTTATATACAGTCAATGCTTAAAAATATGTGTTGAATTGAAAATAATAAAATAACGAATGGGTCTGTAATATAGATTGTTAATTAAATGAAACAATGCAATTTCACTTAAAAAAATAGCATACACTAGAGGAGAGCTTCTGAAGGTTCCTTCCAATCCTGTGATTCTATGCATCATAAATTATAACAGTGCCTAAAAAATTCAGTCATTGTATCAGCAAGTATTCAAGTGCCTGCTATGTGCTAGGCTCTATTCTAAGCACTGGAGATATAAACACAAATAATCAAACAGGCCCTATTCATGAAGAACTTAAATGAAAATGAGGAAGATAACAAGTATATTATATATGTATATATGATGCATATGTAAAATATATATTATATATAAATACATAAAAATTAAAACAACACACATACACACATATACATACATGTACACATACATATATGTATATATAGGCACACACATGCATATATATATATAATACATATATATATGCATACACATACATATATCTATATCTATCTATATCCACACACACACATATACACACATACACACACATATGTGGAAGGAGGATCCTAGCAGTTTGGGGGAGTCAGGAAAGGCTTCACAAAGAATATGGTGCCTAATCATAAAGGAAGAGAGGGTTCTATGGGACAGAGGTAAGGAGGCCTGGGGCCATTCCAGGCGTGGGGAATAGCCAGTGTAAAGGCCCAGAGGAACAGAGTAGCTAAACTGATACTCACCCACAATCTTGATATTGTTGTTTTCATCTAAAAGAAAATTTTCAACTTTCAAGTCCCTAAGGAGAATGAGAAATAAGGTAAGCTTCATTGGATGGCGGAAACATTTGTGATTTTAGAATATTATAGTTGTGCACAGAACCCTTTTCCTTCCCCTTACAGTCTTCTTCTCCCACCCCATATTGATTTTATGTCTAAAATGTTAATGGATATTTCTACACCAAACCAGAATAATGATAAAATTGATATTAATATAAGCATTTTGAGGTTAACTAAGTACTTTACACACATGACTTCATTGAATTCTGACATCTTATGGGATAGATCCTCCAGGTACCTCCCTAAACTATCCTACCTTTCCAATTTTCTTATACATGACACAAAAATCCCCCACCACTCTGCATTTTAGAGACACTGGCTTCCTCATCTTCTTTCAATTCCCAGAGAAGTGAGGCAGCTGGTGGTCCAGTGGATAGAGCACTGGGCTTGGAGTCAGAGAGACTTGTGTTCAAATCTAGCCTCAGATGTTTACTACCTGTTTGATCCTGGGCAAGTCATTAACCTTCTTTCTGCCTCAGTTTCCTCAACTGTAAAATGGGGATAATAATAACTACCTCCCAGGGCTGTTGTGAGGGTCAAATGAGATAATGTTTATACATGGTAAACTCTATAGAAATGCATTATTCGTTCCAGCTAAAATCTCATTTTCTACAAGAAATCTTTCCTGATCCCCTTAATGATAGCACCTTTTCTCTCTTGATGTTCTGTATGTTATCCTGGATATATCTTGTTTGCACGTTTGTATGTTTGCATGTGGTTATTTACATATTCTCTCCTCTATTAGGCTGTGAGTTCCTGGAGAACAGAGACTGTGTTTTTGCCTTTCTTTGTATTCCCAGTGTTAAGAGTAATACCTGGTACATGGGAGGTGCTTAATAAATGCCAGTTAATGTACTGATTATAAGATCTCAAACTGGAAATATGTTCAGAGGTCATGTATCTGAACCCCTTCACTTTGCAGATGAAATAATTGAGGCTCACAGAGGTCAGATAATTTTCCATGAGGTCCTTCTTGACTCTGAGTTGCCTATGCAAACCTCCCATTCAAATTGCCTTGTATATACTTATAGGGTTATGAGTTGTCCCCTGTCATTGAATAGAAGTTCTTAAGACAGCGATTATTTCATTTCTCTATTTGTATACACAATGCCTGACAAATACTGCACACATGTTGAATGTTCATTGATCAGTTGACATGGTGGCCCAGGGTTACTATATACAGTAAGTACTAGCTAGATTTTAATGCAGGTCCTTTGACTCAAAATTCAATGCTCTTTCCAGGGCATGAGAGAATGATTTCCATTTGCCATATCCTCAGAATGACCAGCTACTTCTGGGCTGGATATCAAAGGTTCTTCTTTGATTCTTGTGTATTTGAAGCTAGAATGGAAGTTTAATCTAGAGTAGAGAAAACTTGGAAGAGTGAATGTGACTGTTATCTTCAAATATTATAATAACTGTCATGTGGAAGATTGATTAGAATTTTTCTGCTTGGCCATAGACAGTGGAACCAGGAACAAAAATGCTTACTAATTAGAGCTGACCATCAGTAATATAGGCTGCTCTAGAAGGCAGTGGGATTCTGCTCACTGAAAGTCTTCGGGCAGAGGCCAGATGCTTCCTGGACGAGTATGTTGTAGGTGGGATTCCTTATCTCATTTGACCCTCACAACAACCCTGGAAGGTGCTATTATTATCCCCATTTCACAATTGAGGAAACAGAGGCAAACATGTGAAATGACTTGCTCAGGGCCTATCTAAGGATGAATTTTAACCTCAGTTCTTTCTGATTCTAGGCCCTGCACTCTATCCACTGTGACACCTAGCTTCCCATTTAGCTTGAAACTCTTGTTCCCTAACAGAGAGGTCATTTTTCATTCACATGGACATGTTATTAGTAGACAAGTGGGATTAATTTCTTCCCATCTCAGAAGATGGGCTTTGGTGTGTCTTTTATGAAGAATTTCAAGAGCTTTGAGAGAAAGAAAATAAAAAGGCACCTTACCTGTGGACGATGCCATGGTGGTGCAGGTGGCCGACGGCTGACATGATCTGCCTGGTGAACCTCCTTACTTCCCTTTCATCCAGTTTCTTTTGGTCACAGATCTTGTCCAGGAGATCCCCACCCAGGCACAGCTCCATGACCATGTAATAAGAGTTTTCTGTCTCTAGGGTTTCGTACAACTGAACGATGTGAGGGTGCTTGACCATCTGCTGAATGCGGGGCTCACGCTTCATGTTCTTTAAAATATAAGAGTCCTGCTGGGCTTTCTTCTTGTCGATGACTTTAATAGCGACCTTGAGCAGTGAACACAGAGAGGAAACTGCATGAAATACAGCAGCTAGTTCTGCTCAACACAAAAGCAAAACACCCTTGAAGTACAAAGTCAGGAGGTGAGGAGGATTGAATAAGTGGTGACAGGGGTCAGGGGTTTTAAGAGATTTCTATCATTTGTAAATGACTACAACTCCATATTCTTAGCTACATATGTGAAATTTTAGTTAGATACTCTTAATAGCCAAGTGCACCCAAATAGAGTTTGTTTTGAGCAATCCGCTAACTTTGCTTCGGGGAACATTTTTTTTTTTTTGAGGTAGATAGACTTGGAACCAGAACATCCAAGTACAAATCTTGTTTGACTCTGGAAAAATAACTAAACCTCTCTAATCTTCAATTCATCTTCTGTACAGTGGAGATAATAACAGCATCTACTGCATAGAATTGTTATAAGGTAATAATAATAATAATAACAATAATTAGCATTTACATAACCCTTTAAAGTTTTTGAAGTGCTTTATTTATGTCATTTTATTTGAGTCTCACAACAACCTTGTGTGGTAGGTGCTCTTATTATCTCCATCTTGCCGATGAAGAAACTGAGACTGAGAGAAAGAGATTAAATGATTTGCTCAGAGTTGTAAACAGAATTTGAACTCAGGTCTTTCAGATAGTCCAACATTCTATCCACCGAGCCTCTTAGATGTAAAGCACTTTACAAACTTTAAAGTTTGTAATAAATAAAAAAAAATTAAGTTTTATTTTAATATTAAATTTAATAACAATTATAAATGACGATTATATAATATATAATATATAATGTATATAATAGCAATTATAAATAAATAAAATATTAATATCATTAAATTGCTATTTATTAATTAAAGTAATCTTAATTTAATATTTTGGACAATTAATAAAACATTAACATTAAAATATTATCTAAATGTGACCCATTATTAATATAACTAATATCTTATATGGGGGCATCTAGGTAGCACAGTGAATAGTGTGCCAGGCTTGGAGTTAGTAAGATTCATCTTCATGAGTTTAAATCTGGTCTCAGACACTTACTAGCTGTGTGATTTTGAGTGAGTCACTTAACCCTGTTTATCTCAGTTTCCTTATCTGTAAAATCAGCTGGAAAAAAATGGCAAACTGCATCAATATCTTTGCCCAGAAAACCCCAAGTGGGATCACAAAGAGTGGGACATAATTGAACCGAACAACAACAAAATATCTTACATATGCGAGGACCAAATTTGTTCATTGAAATAATGACCTCATAGATCAAATTTCTAGACAATTTATCTAGAGCCTGAAGGAACCTTAGAGGTCATTTAGTACAACAGCTTCATTTCACAGATGATTATAATGATGCTGAGAGGGATTAAGAACAGCTAGGTGGCCCAGTGGATAAAGTGCTGGGCATGAATTGGAAAGACCTGAGATCAAATCTAGCCTCACACTCCAGTACCTTTGCCCAGTAACTTTGGGGTTATGAAAAGTTGGACATAATAAAACAAAGAAGAGGGAGATTAAATAACTTGCACAAGGTCACATAGGAAGGCGAGGTCAGAGATGGGATTTGAATCCAGATCCTCTGACTCAGGGCCAGTGCTCTTTTCACATACCATGGTCTGATCACAGTACAAGTTCAGAAAAAAGCCAATAAAATTTGCTATGGGACATCCTGGAAAATCATCTATTTCCTCTACAACCTGCTCCTATAATTCTCCTTGTTACAATAACCTGACAGCAGGAAGATTCCATTTTTCACTTTGCTGAGCAAAAACAGGCTGACAGATATTTTATTGGAAACCCCTAGCTGAAAACTTAAATACTGATCCCTGTTCTATATTCCCTGACTTTGCTGTCATCTCCTGTGAAAAATGCCTTTATCATATATCTTAGCATGCTCAAATTCTAAACAATATAGCCTTGCCTGGAAAAAGACTCAAACTTTAAGATATATACATATTCACTGGTCCCTCACTGTGATGTGCGGAAAAACATCTGAAATCCTGGTCTATTATGTTTCACCCCCTCTCCTCCCATACAGTCACAGAGAGGTAACCATATGTCAATGCCAAGGCCTGATTGACTTTGTCAAGGTGCATTTACCTTTTCACCTGTGGGGAGATGCAGTCCCTCCATCACTTTGGCAAAAGAGCCCTGGTTGATCATTTTCCCCACCAGATAAGTCCCAACTTGTTTCGTGTGAGGGAAAGTTTTAGCTGTTTCTTGGGACATCTTCCTGAAACATGCAGGCATCTGCAAATCCCTTCTTTTCTTCTTTTTTTCCTTCTTTTTCAATTCAGGTAATGGCCTACCCAGGATGTTAGTATCTGTTACTAGACCTTCCAGGGTTGTTTTAACTGCTGCTGGCATCTTCATTGATACTACTGGACCGGATAGCCTGTGGTTAATAACCAATTTCAATCTTTAAGCATGTACAGACATTTCTGAGCTTTGGGGAGGATGCAGGCACTGACTCTTCCTTCCTCTTTACCTGTTTCTTAGCTCATGACCCCTTGACCACAGGCACACAGATCAGCTCAAGCAGAACGAATGTGTAGATTATTAACCAAACCTGATACATGATGTCAATTAATGGCCCAGCACTGCCAACTCCCTTGACATCCAATCCCAGCCCTTACCTGGAATAAACCATTCCCCTTCACAGACTAAGTGTTAAGGCTTGCCAAGGCTCAGCCAATCAGCTAAATTGAAATCGGGTTTCTTAATATGCCTTTCTGAATGGAACCTGGAGCCAAACTGTTTGTCCCCAAAGGCATCCTGTGACTTTAGAGGCAAACAGAGCAATGAAATGCAATTAGTTAGAACTTTGTGGCAAGGGTTTAAACAAGCTTTCATGCTGAGGTTACATTAATACCCCAGAAAACACAGCCTATCTTGCTGATTTTTATTGTCCAGAAAGAGGGTTTTTTGGAATCTTTTCTGGAAACACCTACTTTATGGTTAGACCGAAAAGTTGATCCAAATTTGCATTTAGAAAACCCTTTCTTTTTTTTAAAGCAAGAAACTACCCTGCACTTGAATTCTAAGTGGAAACTTGATATTCTACATGTAAAGATCAGAGACTCTTAATGACATTTTAAAACCCTGTATGGTGCAAATCCTTGTCACTGCCTTCAGTAGAGGCCTGCCTGCCATGCATCTAGAGGCATGCCATAATTTTAAACATTTGCACTTGACTTAGGAAGATTTAAGTTGAACTTTTGCTCAAAGTCGGCTGTTGCATAAGATACTTTAATGCCTATACACGGTGTTTGTCATGTGACATCATGTAGAGCTGTGCCGCCTTTGAATTATGCCAGTACTTATAGACGGAGATGTTGCTAGGGTGGGGTGTTTGGGGCTTTGCCCTAGGGTGCCAGATTTAGAGGGTGCTGTTGGTACTTGTGGTCCTTTAGCAACGTAGAAACAACAAAGCACCTCTTAATTAGGCAGAATAATAGTTAAAATAGGAAGCTATCAAATTGTGGGCTGTGGTGAAGCATTCTCCCATTCTTCTTTCTTTTCTATTCTATTCCCATACTCTCCCCACCCCCACCCTACCTAGCCCCAGCTGAAAGCACTACTCTATATTCCTTTGCCCTGAACATTGTTTGTCCCAGGTGCAAACATTTCTAGTTCGGATTCTGCCTAGGGATTCTCTCTTTCTGGCTCAATCTAAACTTGCATTACACATATGGAGCTCAGTTAACTCATTCCATTAGTTCCAGGGGTGGGGAACCTGTGGCCTTGAGGCCACATGTGGCCCTCTAGGTCCTCAAGTGCGATCCTTTGACTGAATCCAAATTTTACAGAACAAATGCCCTTAATAAAAGGATTTGTTCTATAAAACTCGGACTCAGTCAAAAGGCCGCACCCAAGGACCAGGAAGGCCACAATGGCCTTCTTCAAGGTCCTGCAGGCCTTAGACTAAAGAAGCTGGAAATCGAGTACTCATTTATTATATTGCGTTATTAGGATATGGTCCCATTTCAATCCAACGACCTGACATTTCACTTCTGTCTCCTTGCTTATGCTGTAATAACTCTTGGAAGATTTGCCCAGTTTTGATCAAATTTCATACACAGGCATAAAAACAGCCTTCCAAGGGTGTTTTGTACAACAACCAAAGCATATCAGTGTCTCCTTCACTGAAGGCAAGTGAGATTTTTCTGTGGAGAGAAAATTAGCTCTGGAGTCTTAGGACGTAAGCTCAAAGCCCATTTCTGAGTTTATCATCTGTGTTGTTTTGGTAAAAATGACTTGATAGTTTCTTCACCTGTAAAACAAGGGAATTTAATTACTTGGCCTCTGAAACCCCTTCTAGGTCTAGATCTGTGGTTCTCAGAAAGATATGAATTTAGGGGGAAAAGTTGAAATTAAGAAAGTATTTTTGCAGATAGATGAAAGGAGGATTGATAGTATTCAAGGAAGTTAAATTCTAATTAGGTCAGGGTTTCTGTGTGTGAAACTCTAAGTATAGATACTTAACACAGTAGCAAACACAGTTCAGTTTGGTTTAGCTAAGTGTTCTGCTCTAGTCTGTTTAAGGATACAAGAGTGACATAGTTCACGATCACAGAAAACTTACTTAGTCATAATTTATTGATGTTAAAACAAAGGACACAGAGAGGGTGTGTGCCAGCCTTCGACATAGCTACCTGGGTCCCTTTTGTTCTGATTCTAGGACATGCCCTAATACACATAAGGTCTACCCGGGGAGTGACCAGCTTTGTCAGGACTTGATTGGCACCCAGAACACTGGGTTTAGAGAGCTTTATACAAACAGTAAACCAAGGGGGTTAGAGCCCTTTACAAACCCACCCTTTTTGGAGAAGAAAGCCCTCATTCACTTATGAGCATACCAATTATAAATAAGCTAGACAAGCTAGATACACATGGATTTGTAAAATTCTTTGGCATTTTTACCTTTGGATTCTCAGTCATTCCGGCTGTTGCTATCTATGGGTTTCCCCCTCCCTCAACCTCCTTCCTCTCCTTCCCCTTTTTGTCTTGGGCAAAGAGATCAAGCCTGGCCAATTTTACTTTGTATTCAACCAATGTTTTTTTGATAATAGTACAAAGAAGAAAAAGGAAACCAACCAGGAAGAAAGAAGGTATAATCACTTTTGTGTTCTGCCCTTAGCATCATTGCCTTCAGCAACAAAAGAACAGCACAGAGAAACTCGCTGCTTGAATGTGCTATTCTGGAGAATCTTATTAAATTTTATCAGTTACTTGATTTCTAAAACTTTTAGCCTTTAATCATCACTACTGCTAATATCCATGGAAAGGAGAAACTGGGTTAACTAATTTGAAGTGAAGAAAACATTAAGAGAGATAAATACCTTTTAGGTAGAATAGATATTTGAAATTATTCTTCCCTGTTTTAAGCCAGGTAAAAATCCCCTACTGGCTTTTGCTTATTATGTTAGAAAAACAAAACAAAACAAAATAAAATCCAACTGTAATGAGATAACCCTTTCCCTCAACCAGGATAATGGGAATGAATGAATGAACAGGAAGAATGTTAACTGTTTGTTATTTGACACTAGTGAGGGACAGCAAGAGAAAATTATTAATTCATGCAACAAAGGTTTAGGCATTGTTTTATTATAAGCATAAATGCTAGAAGAGATCAGTCCACCATGGCTCACCTGGAAGGACTTTTCAGAATAATAGTCTGGGGTCATGAAAACAATCCTGGCCTTGGAATCCTGGATTCAAATCTCTGCTTTTCTGTTTATTACTTGTATAGTCTTGGGTTAACTTTTCTGGCCCTCAGTTTCATCATCTATAAAATGGAGGCAAGAAGAAAGATTAAATTAGGTATCTTAGGTTCCTTCCCAAATCCATGATCTTATGATCTGAGGACTAGACTTCATTTGGAAATAGAAGATTGGCAGTAGTGGAGTGGATCAAGGGATGGAGAAAGTAGAAAGAAGTCTAAGAAAGAAGAGAATCCATAGAATTATTCATCGTAATATTGATGAGTTCAAAAATATTAATTGATAGCACACACTATTAAAGAAAGGCCTATGCTAGACACTGTGGGGAAGACAAATAAGTAGAATATATAGCCCCTAACTTCAAGAAACTTACTATTGGATAGAGCACCGGCCCTGAAGTCAGGAGGGCCTGAGTTCAAATCTGGTCTCAGACCAAACACTTAACATTTACTAGCTGTGTGACCCTGGGCCAATCACTTAACCTCAATCGCCTAAAAAACAAACCAAAAAAAACCCCCTTACTATCTAGTTGAGGAAAATACAGGAAAAATTAAATAGCAATTGTACAGGTCAAGTTTTCTCACCTGATTCTCATAATTTAGTCCTCCAATGGAGAGACTGCCTCCTGAGAACAACAGATGTATAAGCCTTTTTAGGAGAGGTAGAGTAGAAAGAATGTTGATTTTGGAGACAGAAAACCTGGATTCAAACCTGAGTTTTGCTTATTACTTGTGGGACCTTATCCCACCAAGTCACTCAACCTCTCCGGTGATTTTGTTGGTGTGCAGCTTACAACCAGCCTGTAGCTCAGAGAGTGTGTTGTGGTAAAGTGACTTGTCTGTGGTCCACACAGCTAGTAATTGTCACTGTGGGTTTTGGAGCTCCATTTGTTGGCAGTTAGGTGATGCAGTGGATAGAGCATTGGGCCAAGATTCAGGAAGACCTGAGTTAAAATCTGGCCTCAGACACTTGCTAGTTGTGTGACTCTGGGCAAGTCACTTAACCTCTGTCTGCCTCAGTTTCCTCATTGGTAAAATGGAGATAATAACAGCACCTACTCCCTCCTCCCACCAGGTTAGTGCAAGGATCAAATGAAATAATATTTGTAAAATGCTTAGCATGGTGCTTAGCACATAGTAGGCACTTAATAAATCGTTTCTCCCTTCTTTTTTCCTTCCCTCCCTTATCTCTTCAAAATCTTTATAAGAAAGTTGTATATTGGGACCCTCCTCATACACTGTACCTCAGGATTAGGACATGTTATAGATGTGGGTCAAGATCTCCTCAAAACCAGAGTTTGTGAGTCCCCACACATGTGTTTCTTTTACTAGCCAACCATAGGACACCTTAATTCAAAGAAAAAGACATTTAATTGGTAGCACAGCAATGCAAGCAGCTAGAATGACTTTTGCCATGCACATAGACGCATGTCCTCTCACAAGTTACCATACTACTAGTTGAAGAAAGGACACACTCATTGTCCCATAACAAGGGAACACACAAAGTCGAGCAGATGTGTAGAGAACACATATGGCCAGAGCCCACATGACCAGGGCCTCTAACACCACAACACTGCTGATGTCCTCTAATGATGACATTAGGTGACCTTCTTTCCACATTGACTTGGTATCTCCTATTATTCTGTTCTCTCTGCTGTGCCCTTCTCTGTAGGATGCTTCTGCTGCTGCTTCTTCCTCATCTTCCACTGCCCTGTTACCATTATCTGCTATCACCTGCTGGTCATTGACTAATATGAGGCCTTAGGTTTGGGGCTCGGTCATTTTTGTAGCTTGACATCCTCAGTGACCATCTTTAGATCTTTCAAAATCCCTAGCTAGCCATAATTCACCATGAAGCTCCTAAAAATGTTAAAGTCTTTCTTTGGAAGCCCTTTCATTTTGCTGTAACACTGGACATCTCAATCCAAAAGATAAAATCCCAGAATTTGATGGTTTCAAGGGACCTCAGCATCCTTTCACATGTGAAAACCATCTCCACTGGAACATAACCAATGAATGACTATTCAGTTTCTGCTTGAACACTTCCAAGGGGAGAAAACCCATGACATCCATTAGACGTCCTTTATGCATTTGATAACTCTTAATTGTTAGGAAGTTTGTCATGCTATCATGCTAAACTCCCTGTTCTGTCCTCTAGAACCAAATAAAACAAATCAAGTCTTCCCTCCAAGTGACAGTCCTTCAAATACAACTATCATGTCCCCCCTGAGTCTTGTCTTTTTCAGGGTAAACATGCCCAATTCCTTTAACAGATTCTCACACGAGGTATAGGATGAAATTCCTTTTAACTCCTGCCCCTGGCTCAGTAGCCTGGGTCCCCTTCCTGTCATCCCAGGGACAAAAAATTGCTAAGGCTAAGGGATTCTGATCAATCTCATCATGCCTCTGGCTGCCATGCAAATCAACTTGAAGCTAACAATTTTCACCCTTGCTCCTCTGTTCTCTATTCTTTCCAATAATACAATCACTGGTGTGTCTACAGAATAATCTTATGTGATATTAAGGACATCCTGGATGAAGGTGTATATAGGCAAGATTTTTCAAATCATATTTTATAGTAAAATACCATATCTTCACAGTCACAGATTGAGTTGAGAAGTACATAAAATCAAAGATCTCATCAAGTTTATTGGTTATTGACGAAAATAAAAATCTTAAGATTCAGTGTAGAAAAATGATGCCTTGAAGGCTATCTTCAAATGATGGGCATATGTCAACATTACATAAGATTCCAAAAGGAAGCTGGATTTGGAGTCAGAGCACTGAGATTTGAATGCTGCCTATGCTAGTTACTTTGACCTTGAGCAAGTCATTTAACTTTTCTTGGCTTCGGGTTTTGTTTTTTTTAATCTCTAAAATGAAAGGCTTAGACTAGATGATCCTTATGGCCACTTTCAATTGTAAATATGTTATCTTTTTTTCCCCCCATCTTAATATTTTATTTTTTCCCAAGCACGAAAAAACAAATTTTAACATTCTTTAAAAAAATTTGAGTTCCAAATTCTCCCCCCCCCGAGACATTAAGCAATTTGATACAGGCTATGCATATGCAACTATGCAAAACATATTTCCATATTAGTCATATTGTGAAAGAAAACACAGATCAAAAATAAATAAAGAAAATGAAAAATGGCATGCTTTGATATGCATCCAGACTCCATCAATTCTTCCTCTGGAGGTAGATAGCATTTTCCAATACGAGTCCTTTGGGATTGCCTTAGATCATTGTATTGCTAAGAATAGCTAAGTCATTCACAATTCTTCATTGTGCAATATTGTTGTTACTGTGCACAGTGTTCTCCTGGTTCTGTTCACTTCACTTTGCATCCATTCACGTAAGTCTTTCCAGGTTTTTCTGAAATCATCTTGTTCATCAATAGCATTCCTTACAATTGTATGCTATAACTTGTTCAGCTGTTCCCCAATTGATGAGCATCCCTCCAATTTCCAATTTTTGCTGCCACAAAACCACCTGCCATGAATATTTTTGAACAAATAGGTCATTTGCCCTCCCCTCCCCTTTTGGGAGTCTCTTTGGGATACAGACCTAGTAATGGTTAAATGTATGATCTTGTATCAAATGTAGTTCTAATAGAAGAGAGAAAATTTATAGTTAGGGTGCTGATTGTATCAAACCCCATAACATTACAAAGTCTCCTTAACAAGAACCCTGATTGCTCAGGGTTAGGCCCAACAACCCTCACAGGAAAAACCAAGTGGCTGAAGAAACTCTATTGTCTTTCTATGACATGCAGTTGGATGGACAGCCCTTTAAGCTAGTCGATCTTGAACAGCACTGCAGATAGACAATGAATTAATTGGTCCAAGAATTGAATAGGAAGAGGAAGAGAGCAGGTATGATTGCATTTGGGAAACTTAATGTTTTTATTGACCTCATGTTTATTCCTGGAATAAAATCCCATCATTTTAACATTAAGATTTTTCTAGTAATCCTGTGTACCTGGGGTTGCACAGGATGAGAAGGTTTAGATGAGTTGAGAACTGTACCAATCAATAGTGGGAATGCCCATATTAGTGAGATCCATCAAAGTATTTTTATGTCAATATTTAGTACTTTCAAAACATTTTGCTGATATTTTACTTATTTCTCCTCTTATATATCCATATACATTGTAGGAGTTTAGATAAATCTCTCTGTGCCTTAGTTTTCCCTTTTGTAAAATTAGGGGATTAGGTTAGGTGATTTCTAAGATGGCCTCTACCTTTTATACTCATGACTCTTTGATTCTAACTCCTTCAACTCTGTTGATCCTTTCAGTTATTCAGATTTATAACCTCACAGTCATCTTTGACTAGCCCCTTTCCTCTCCCCTACAAATGTAATTAGTTGTCAGGTCTGGTGGATTGTATCTCTACAACCTTTCTCACCTTACCAGTTCAGAAACTACTCTCTTCTTGTCTAAACTATTCTACCAGCCTTCTAAAAACATCTTCCTACATTTCATTCCTCATTAAATTCATCCTTCATATTGCTTATTTGTGCATAGTTGTTTGCAGGCTGTCTCCCTGGTTAGATTGCAAACTGCTTAAAGGCAAGGACTATCTTTTCCCTTTCCTTGTGTCCCCAGTGCTTGGGAGGAGAAAGAGAGGCTGGTGACTTTGCACGGCCTCATGTAAATCCAATTCACTTGCAAGTCATGACATCTTCCTGATGTCAAGGTCCTCTTTGAGAACAAAGGACAAACAATGACATCCTCAGTGCTTAGCAGAGTGCTGGAACTTAGTAGGTACTTAATAAATGTTAATTGACTGATAAGGCAAAGCAGAACTCCACATTTCTTGTCTTGATTCTGTTTCTTTTTCCTTCTCAGACCTGGAGAATGATCTCTTGCTGGAAAGGACAGAACAAAAATGGCTAACAAGGATTTGAGACTCAGATAAGTAATAAGACAATAAGATAGCTATGTCTTGATGCATTCAGATCACAAGGTCTAGAGGAACTATAGTCCAGAGTCCTGAAAGAATTGTAAAATGCTATTACTGAGTCCCCTGTCAATGATCTTTGAAAGCCCACGGAGAATGGCAGAGGAACTAAAAGACTAGAAGGGAGCAAACGTCCTGACTTTCTAAAACAGAAAGAATCTATAAACTACGAGCCACTCTCTGCAGCAGAGTTTCAATGCTTGGTGGTTCAACTCGAGAAGGGACCTCAGTGTCTAGGACCTTATGTTGCCAGGTGATCTTCAGACAATTCAAATGGAAGTAATTCGGTATCCTGACATGATGCTGGTATACCGTCCAGGTTTTACAGGTATACAACAATGAGTTCAGTACAATGGCTCTGCAGACCTTCAGTTTGGTAAGCAGACTAATACATCTTCTCTCCTATACTTTACTTTGGAGCCTCCCAAATGCTAAAGTAGCAGAGGTGTCACACATGCTGTGTGGCTTACAACATTCCTCAGCTGCATGTGTCAACCTCATCATCCCTGGAAAGTATACTGCCAAGGTGAGTAAACTTATCCACACATTCAAAATCTTTTCATTTGCTGTAACTGAGGGTTCCATGTATGGGTAGCGTGGTGCTGTCTGGCTGAGAAATTCTGTTTTCTTGGTGTTAATAGGCCGAAATTAGCACAAGCAGCAGAGAACCAATTAATACTTTGTTGTATCTTAGTCACAGAGCTGCATAATCATCTGCAAACAAAAAGACATGTACCAACTTTCCTTTCACTTTAGTCTTGGCTTGTAGCCTTTTAAAGTTAATTAATTTACCATCAGTGCCTAAGTAACCTTGATACCATTTATGTGCTTGTTGAAGGTGTCTGACAACATTGCAGAAAACATCATGCCAAAAAGCAAGCACACAGCCCTGCTTCACTCCATTGGTGACTGGGAAAGCATGAGAATATAGGGTGTTCATTTATATATACATCCGCTCAAATTTATATCTATCTATCTATCTATCTATCTATCTATCTATCTATATTATCTAGTTCTAAGGTTTGCAAAATACTTTTAAAGTATCTCATTTGATCTTCAAAACAACCCTACATGATAGGTGATATTATTATCCCCATTTTAGAGATGAGGAAACTGATGAAGACAGAGTTAAGTGACTTGCCCAGGCTTATACAGCTAGTCAGTATCTAAGGCCAGATTTGAACTCAGGTCTTGGTAACTTCAGGTCCAGTGCTCTATCAACTTGGCTACCTTGATGTCTCATTCATGGAATGTACTCCCATCTCAGCTCTGCTTAAAATCCCATATTCCCTTTAAAACTCTGCTCAAGTAATACTGTCCATATGAAGCCCAATCTGGTCCCCTGGGTCTTATTTAATTGTCTATGTCTTATATATGCTTATTTATCTGCTTACCTCCTTCTTGAATATAAGTTCCTTGAGAACGGGGACCCTTTCATTTCTGTCTTTGTATCTCCTGGCATAGTACCAGCTTAATGATAGGTGCTTAATAAATGCATGTTGATTGATTTAACACTCATTTCATTAGCTTGGATGAAAGAATAAACAGCATGCTCATCAAACAGCACAAAGGTGGAAGAGATAGATATTATATGACAGAACCAAGTTCCCCAAAGATCTAGAAAACCCAGAACATTAGAATGAATCTAATAAGGTGAACGGATTTGTTTTTCTTTTTATTCAACCTTGATTTCATTGGTGAGGGGGTTTCCTTGTGAGGAATTTCCTCTCCCAATGCAGATTGGCACCTGTTCTTTATAGTCTGGGGAGACTCAGATGTTAAGTGACTTAAGTCTCAAATATGCACTCAAGTCCGTAAGCCACACTTGAACCCAGGTCTTCTTGATTCCAAAGCCCAGCTTATTATTCATGATAGCATGTTTTCTCTCATCAGATGAAACTTAAGAAGGGTAAATATATTCATGGGTTAAAAAAAATGCAATCTCACAAGCATGGGTGGGGGGAAGACATAGGTAGACAACAATTTATCTGAAAAAAATCAGAATGTGCCAATTTTACATGATGTGATAGCTACAAAAAAGAAGATGAAATTAGGCTACATTAGGAGATGAATAACTTTTAGAAATGAGGAAGGTGATCGTTTGGTCTGACCATATCTAGTACCTTGCATTCAGTTCTGCGTGCCTCATTTTAGGGAAGCCAATAAGCTGGAGAACTTCTGGGCACAGGTAGCTTAAATGGTCAGGGGCCTTGATATGATGATTATATATATAGACCAGTGAAAGGAACTAGAAATAGTTGGCTTGGCAAAAGAGAGGACTTGGGAGGAGGCAGATGTACTTTAAGGGATTAAACTTGTTTTGTTTGTTGGAAGGCGGGACTAGAAAAAAATGGGGCAGAAATTACATAGGGGCAAATTTAGGCTTGATGTAAGGAAAAATTTCCTAATTAGAGCTAGCCTAAAGTATAATTGGCTGTTTGAGAGTTTTTCTTCAAGCAAAGTCTGGATGACCACTCCAATACATTTGTAGGGGGTACCTCTTGTTTGGGTACAAATTAAACAGAGGTGTCACACATGCTGTGTGGCTCACAACACTCCTCAGTGCAACCTGAATCAGATTAAAATGTAATTGGGAAATATTTAACAAAACAAATACAAATAATACAACAATAACAAAATAATATACCATAAACATATGACATAAATAATAACTATATAAATATAGTACACTAATACATATAAATAACACAATAAAACATAAATATAGAATATAATATGCAATAATAATAAAAATAATACAATAAAACATAGATTATATTGAAATATGGTTTTCTAAGTCAATATGAGTACTGGCAGGATCTTTATGAAGGGCAGATAGGTGGTGTAGTAGAAAGAGCACTGGGCCTGGAGTCAGAAAGATTCATCTTCCTGAGTTAAAATCTGGCCTCAGACACTTACTAGCTGGGTGACCCTGGGCAAGTCACTTAACCTTGTTTACTTCAGTTTCCTCATCTGTAAAATGAGCTGGAGAAGAAAATGGCAAACCACTTTGCCAAGAAAACTCCAAATAGGGTCACAAAGAGTTAGAATATGACTGAATAGCAAAAATAGTTTTATGTATGATAAAGGCCTCTGTTTCAATTTGAGTAACATCATTGGATCAGATGACTTCTGAATTCTCTTCCCACTCTAATATTCAGTGACACCTAAATGCATCTAAAATTTTTAAATAGTATTTTATTTTTTCCAATTACATGTAAAGACAATTTTTAACTTTTTTTTTTCTGGTGAGGCATTTGGGGTTAAGTGACTTGCCCAGAGTCACATAGCTAGTGAGTGTCATGTCTGAGGCTGGATTTGAACTCAGGTCCTCCTGAATCCAGGGCTGGTGCTCTATCCCCTGCTCAACCTGGCTTTCCCTTAGCATTCATTTTTCGATAAAATTTGGAGTTTAAAATTTTCCCTCTCCTCCTTCCTCCCTAAGACAGTAAGCAATTTGATATAGGTCATATATGTGCAATCATGTAAAACATAGCAAATGTATTTTTTCAATAATGTAACTTACCTACTCAAGAATCTTTAATAATTCTCTGCTGTCTAACCCAGAAAGCAGAAAGTCCTGATCCTGGAATTCAAGGCCCTCTTAGGTTCCAACCTATTCCAATCCTTTCTTACAGTTCCCATAATATGCTCTACATTCTCATCAGATCTATCTCCTCTCTCTAGGCCTTATTTCATCCAATTCTTCTTCCTTGGCATAGCCTCTCCTTCACCAGTCCATCTCCAATGGTGGCACTCCCTCTCTCCCTTCCTCCCTTCCTCCCTTCCTGCCTTTAATTTTTGTCTCAGGTCCTCTTCAAAAGCGTTCCCTAAACTTTTCTGGGAAAAGAGATCTTTTCGTCCTTAAATTTCTGCTAGTTCCTTGCCTGGACCGCTTCTTGCACCATCTTAACTACGCAGATTACAATCTCTTGTAGAGCCCTCTAAGCATGTACTTGTGGCCTTCAGATGTTTTTTCACCCCTTAACAAATTGCAGTAGCTCCCTATCATCTCTCGAATCAAATATAAGCTTTGTTTAACGTTGTATTCTGTGATTGCTATCAGTGTGCACATTGCTTCTTTTAGAGTAATCCTTGCCCAACCTAGCTGTCCCAAATACAGAAAGCTAAGGGAGAGGAAAGCTAGGGAAAGAATTCAGTCCTTCAGGTCACATATACCTGGAGCAGGAGTGGCTATTCCTCCCACAAGAGTCCCTCCTTGTGTCTGAGGCAGCCAATCAGCAGGAGGGAGCCCACCCTGGGAAAACCAATCAATAAGGTTTCAGTGGGCACGAAGCTTAGCCTTCTGTCCCTTTACCTTAGAAAGTTTAGTAGAGAGGCTGTCTCAGAAAGGCCTTGTTATAACTAAATTTGCTCCCTCTCTTGCACAGCAGAACTTCCCAGTGCTGTGTTATCTTCCTTTACTCAATCATAATTAGGCTTGGGGAAAAAAAAAACAAACCAACCACAAATCTTGAATTTTCCACGGTGTGTATCTGGATTTCAGTAGGGAGAATCTTCCTTCACTAAGAAAGACTGTTTTCCATATTCCTTAGAAGACTGGCTTTCCTCTGGATCCTTCCAGGAAAAAGTGGGAGACCAAATGACAAACTTTGTGAGAGATTGAAAGGAGCTGAAAGATTTGGGAATTAGAATTAGACTGACCCCTCTCCCCCATCCCCCACCTCCCCGTTGTCACCCCATTTCAGATCTGTCTGCTTTTCTTTACTCCAGTCTTCCATTCCTTATTTTTGGAGATTAAAAGGGTGGGAAGAATGGAAAAGAAGACGCTGAAATTTATATTCATTTAAAAGGGGAACAATAGTTGACAGCCTTTACTCTTCCAACAACTTTGAAGGAAGGAGAAAACCTCTTTAGAAATGCTACAAACTTGATAGCTGGCTAAGCTAACCATTGCTATTGTTGGGGACAGGCCCAAATTGACACCTTTGAGAGATTCTGAGGCCAAGGAACTGCCAAAAACATGTTAAAAGTAATTTTTTTTTTGACAAAACATAGTCTTTAAAAAAAAAAATTGCCCAGAGCAGTTTGTCTTTGTATTGGGAAACAGATTACTGTTACTGACCCCTAGCCAACTGAAGTCAAACCTTGAATATGAAAGCTGCCTGAGGCCCCGGGCAGTGGTGTCCATCCTGGCTCCGTTTGTAGCATGTGTTTTAATGTCTTGTTATACTGACAAGGCCCAGGAGAGAGTTATAGAGTCAAATGTTCATTAGTGGCTTCCAGCCAGTTCAAGATAGACTTCAGCAGAAAGGCAGCTGTGGGATAGTCCTGGAGCTGACCACATTGGCTGCTAGTCAGAAAATGACCATGCCAGAATCATTCACCTGAAATTCTGGTGCATGTGATCTTTCTCTTAAATAGTAGAAGCATATTTCCATGGGGAAGTGGGGAAGCAGAGGATGGGAGAGAGGGTGTTGAAAAAAATAATGCCCTTTTCTGAATCCAATACAGTTTTAAGAGCTGGATGAGAAGGAAGAAGGGAGAGAAGTCATATTTCATTAAAATTCCCAATCTTTTGTAGACACCTGGGAGTTGTGGGAGGAGACTACTTGCTGGAATTGCTATTGTTAGTGTCAGAACAATTAGACCTGTATTATCTAGTTTTGCTGAATACTACTCCCCAAAGTATACAATATAGCAAGAAATTAGACAATTTGATTTTTTTGCTAATGATCATTACAGCAAGAATTTAGTTATTATGCTGTAGCCACCATCTTGAATTTCCTTTATTAGCAAGAACTATAAAAAATCCTTCTATATCAACTAAATTTAATACATATTTATTAAGTGCATACTATATTCCAGATACTGTATAGAGCTCTGGGGTTACGAAGACAAAAACAGAATAGTCTCTACCCTCAAGAAGCTTACATTCTACTACTGGCTCATTTTGAAAAAAACACAGTAATGGGACATTTATCCTGGCCACCATCTTGGGCTTCTACTATTTAACTGAAAAATCCTAAGGGCTCTAGAAATTCTGTTTGGTTCTAAAAGCCCTTTTAATATAATAATAATAACTGACATCTATATCGTGTTTACTATGTGCTGAGAACTTTAAAATCATTGTCTCATTTGATCCTTATGACAACCCTGGGAGGGAGGTACTTTTATTATCCCCATTTTACAGATGAGGAAACTGGGGCAAACAGAAGTTACACAGGTAATAAGTGTTGTTAGAGGCTGGATTTGAGCTCATTTTCCTGACTCCAGGCCCAGTGCTTTGTCCACTGTGTCATCTGACTGCCCTTAAATGTTTTAAAAACATCTCAAGTATTACTTCACGCCTATGCATGGTACATGCTGGATACATGCAATGCATCTTTCTATTGCTTAGTTCAGTTGTTTCTCTACTTTACCAACCTGAAGCTTGTATTTTGGGAAGTGAAGCTTTATTCTCTGTTCGAGGGGAGACCCTCTAGAGTTTGCAAGTAAGTGCTGGTTCTTTAAAGTACAAGGTCATAGAGGCTTCAACTGGCTTCCAAGGATCATTTACAATCTGAGAATTTTAGAAACTTTAAATGTATCTATGGGGAGTCTATCTTGGTAGCAGTAAACCCCAAGCAAGTTCCGCTGTGTGGAAAATGAGGCAGACAATTTTTTTAAAAAGCAAGACAAACCCCACCAGCATTCTAACAAATGAAAGCAATCTTATAAAATCAGCAACACCCTTTTAATAGTGATTCAGGCAGAGCCTAGGTTCTAGGAGCCCTTGGACTTTGCTCTCATGCCGCCCAATGTTCCTGAGGTGTTCCATTTTTATGGTTTAACTCATGCCCTGTTGTGTATTATTTCTGACATCTTACACACCTGTTGGCAGGCACGCAGTTTACTTTAAAAGTTTCTGGTTGGCATGTGCAAACTCAGCAGTTTTTTAGCAAGGTTTCCTTAAAGGAAAAAAAAAAGCATCTATAATGGTCTAAGAAGGTGTAAAAATCTGGCTCTTTTCATCTCTTAAGCCTTTCTTACCCAGTGAATCAATGGCTAATCTGTATGAGGAGTTGCCTACTAAAAAAAGATGGGGTTTTCCAGGTGAACCAGAGAGTACTTAACTGGGTATTACTAGTTTGTAGAGCAGAGCAAATTGCACAATGTTAAAGCCCTTCACAGATAATTAATGTTGTCTTACAGTCCTCGTAATCTCTCACTGTAAATCATGATCTCTCTTCCTGAGATCCTGTGGGTTCCCCTCACATGCTTTGGGATAAAAGTATTGAAGTTTGGAGTGATATCCAATCGATCCAAGAACATTCAAGAGTATATCTTTGTAAAGGGGATGGAGAATTCTGTAAACATTGGAAATGAAAAATGTCAAGGTCTTGGGAAATATTTAGCCTAGCTTAGAGGTCAGGCCATGCTACTGAGCCCATTTGACTTGAGAATTCCACATTTCAGAAAGACTGTTTCTTCTTTCTCGATTGGTACGCCTCTTGGAAAGACAACTATGCCACCCAAATGTTCCACTCCAAATATTCACATGTACTATTTTGGCTCAACCTGAGGTAAAGCATGCCGAGTTTGTACTGGTCTGATCAGTCTTGGCCAGACAGACTGTGGCTTGACTATAACACAGTGATGTCACTTTGATCCTCTTCTAGAACAAAGGATAACAACCAACCCAGCAATGGTGGTGAGTATTCCAGCCATATAGTTAAGTTTTTGTGTCTAAACTTATGATTTCATAGGTGTGGGGAGCTTCTGGTGTATAAACTCCCTCAACTGGTATTTATGGCAACTCATTAGTAACCTAGCATCTTAAGGAGCTACTTGCATCAATGAAACCTTAAGTGAGCTTTACAAAGAAGAAAATCAACAGTGTGTGTGTGTGTGTGTGTGTGTGTGTGTGTGTGTGTGTGTATACGTGTGTGTGTGTGTGCATGGCTGGACAGTAGAACATGGAGGTTTTAGGGTACTACCCTGTCCTTGTCATACCACAGTTAGAGTATCATGTTTCCTTCAGAGTAATACATTCTAGGAAGGGCATTGAGAATGTAGAGTGTGTCCAGAGGTAGGCCATCAGTTTGGTAAAGGGACTTATGACCATGATATATGAGGATCATTTGAAGAAACTTGGGATGTTCAGTCTGAAGTAGAAAAGATTTGGGGAGGGCCTGATTTCTGCTCTCAAATACCTAAAGGGTTGTCATGGGGAAAAGAGATTAGATTTATTTGGTTTGGCCCCATCAGGCAGCATCATAACCAAGGAGTAGAAGTTGCAGGGAGACAGATTTTTTTTTGCTCAGTAAAAGGAAAAACTTGTTAACAATTTGAGCAGAACTCAAATGGAATGGATAACTTTGGTAGAGTGAGTTCCCTATCCTGGGAAGTGCTTAGGTAAGAGCTAGACTGCCATTTATCCAGATGTAGAGGGAATGAATTCTTGTTTCAGGAGAGAGTTGACCTAGATGATCTCTCTGAGGTCCTTTCCAAAGGGAAGATTTTAACAGTCTGTGAAAATGCATGGAGTTGGCAAATAGCCATTTTTAGCTGGAACAAAGTGACGTGCCTTTCCAGCAGCGTCCGGACAATATGATAAATTGTTAATTCGATCTGTGTTGTTGAAGCCATTCCATCACAGCAATGACACAGGTTGACAGGGGCTGCCCCATGTAGTTATAGGCAATGTGGCATAATGGACTTGGAATCAGGATGACCTAGATTCAATTGTCTCCTCTGTTGCTTACTGTGCAACTATGGGCAAACTCCCTGAGCCTCAGCTTTATCACTTGTAATATGGAGATAATAATATTTGTAGAATCTATCTCTCAGGACTTAATTCAGGAACAAGTTATTATATACCCACCTGCTCTGTGACTGGGTCTAAGCTAGGAGCTGGAAATTCATAGATGAAAATGAAGAAAAAGTCCCTATCGTCAAAGTGCTTACATTTTACTGATGGGAAAGAGAATGTATGAAGATAAGTAAAATCTGCTTGGATGTTATATAGATGTCTTAACTCAATATGTCCAAGACAGAACTCATTATCTTCCCCCTAACCCACTCCTTTTCACCATTCTTCTAGTCATCCATGTTTACAACCTAAGTCATATCTATTATTCACTCTCACTCCTCCTACTCCCTTATATCCAATCAGTTGTCAAATCTTGTTAATTTTCCCTTTATAACATCTCTCTCATCCATTACCTTTTCTCCACTCCCACCACAACTACCCAGTACCCAACACTTTTATAATAACTTCCTTGCACCTGAGTTACCAGGTGTCCAATCCAGCATCCATGTAGTGGACAAACTGATAATCCTAAATATAAAATCTTATTATGCCACTCCTGCTTAGAAAGCTTTAGTAGTTCTGCATCACCTGTAGGATAAAATATGAACTCCTCTGTTCAGCATTTCAAGCCCTTCACAGTCTAACTCCAACTTTTCTTTCCAGTTAATTGAACGTTACTCCAGACACTCTGTACCAGTGACGTACTGATAATGTTAAACAACCAGCTCCTGGTGGAATGGGGGGGAGGTATGCAGGACGTATTTTAAAGTTTAATCTGCATAATACTAGCATTTTCT